GGGGGGGGCCCCCTACACGTGAAGTTTTCACGTGATTCATGATTCTCGACGCTGCGAGCCCTTGACTTGCTAAAGCAAGAGCAACTCCAGCTAGCTGATGCTAGCTTTCGTGATTACTTGCTTGGACTTACAAAACCCTTCCAAAACTCCTCCAGATCAATCTCAACCGATCGCCTCGGGCGCATCGGTCTCCACTCCCATGGACCGGAGCACCTCCGAGATGTCCTGGCGGCTTCCGCGGGTACCGGCGGAGTTGGGCACCGTCGGTGCGGGGGTTGGTCGGAGTGTTTAAGGGCTTTGGCTGGTGGCATGGTTGGAATGGAACCCTGAACCAGGCAAATAGCGGTGCAAAGGGGAGGCCTACGGAGTCTACGGCTGGCCTACGAGGTGCTGTTGCTGATCTCTTTGTCCAGGCCAACAACGTGACACAACCTTCACAAATCTCTGCCCACAAATTGCAACTCGCCCCCGAAACCAACCCCCCCAAAAAAAACACTCTCATCGAACTTGATCAAGGAATGCCCACAAGGGCCAACAACCTTCTCCACCTCAAACGTGCCCAGAGGTTCGGGTTCGTCGCCGGTTCGGTCTGTGTCCGGTCCTCCACCAGGGTGATGAGCTCCTCCAACTCCAAGGGATCAAAGTCCCGGCCCTCTTCCAGTGCCTCGGAACCGATGCAGTTTCCGGCATCCAAATGGGAAAGGTGTTGCCGCGTTGCCTGATCCGGCTGGTCTGGGAGGTATTCGAAGGTCTAATATGACATGTTGGATCTGTATGCCTTGTTTTGGACCCAATGAAATCTGGGGGTTTGGAAGTGGCTGAGGTGGCTCTACAAATGGTTGCACAGATCTACTTCAGGATGGTCAGGTCTGGGAAGACTTTGTACGTGTTTGGTCTCTTGGCATCTCGGGAAATGTCATAGATACGGAGTCCCCAAGGTCATAGTGCACATCAAGTCCACTCCTCATGACAGCCTTGAGGAACTTCCCACACGCATGGCCCAAAGATCAATGTCTCATGTTGCTGTGGCCGCTGGAAAAAAACAATCAGTGGAGTCCATTCTCCTGAGGCAAGTCTTCACCACAATCTGTCTAGTTCATCCACTTCTACACTTCACAAAGATCACTACCCCACTTGTGACTCATCCCAACTTTTCTGCCAAATCACCCCGCCCTATCACCCACCTGAGCCCTCTCGGGCGAAAACAATCTAAACAAACCACACAAACAGCGCAGAACCACCCCACGAACGCACCGCCTGCACCAGTTGCTCCACACGCTCTTTGGCGTCTTCCCGGGCCACCTCGGACCGGCCGGTCGGACGGCGCGGGGGGGTGGTCGACGACGGGCCGTATCCCAGGGCATGCGAGGCATGCGAACATTCTGAGATGAAAAGGAAAGCCTAGGATCAAGCCTAGGATGCATGGGAAATGTGGAAAAAAGAAAACTGCACAATCATACTGTGTGAAAAGAATAGTCATGATTTAGCGGAGTTTCGGCGACGGCTTGTTGGGACCCGGACGATGAAGGATTTGTTTGGCGGCTGGGGAAAAACATGTTTGTGATGTTTTGGGCACTTTAGCACTGTAGATGCTAATGTCCCGCATCGATCAAGACCTCCACGCACGGCATATCCAACTCCTTCAAAGAGATCCAGCTACAGCAGCCCTGCCGTGCCCTGGGCTCTCCAGCTACCAAGCGCACTACCTCCTCTGCTGGACTCTGGGCATTTGGGATTCGTCCAACCGTGGTAGCTCCCACATCCTCACTCAAAGAAGCATGACCTTTGGAGGTTTTGACATGTTTTGACGGCTCAACGCAAGTCTATGTCGAGGAAGATTTGCCTATTTATTTGAGTGCATGTGTTCCATCCACAATTTGCCTCCCGGGGGCTGGATTCTGCTTTGCACTGATGCTGATCTGGCTTCATGTTGGGTCTCAAATAGATCTGAAAGACCTTGGTAGTCTAGATCACAACCCACTAAAGCAAGGGCTGGCAAGAGCAGCTACCCCGATCTTCTGTTTACTTAAAACCTGAAGCCAAGTGTATCCCGAATGACTTGCTCTTTTCACTGTCTGAAGCATGTCACTTGATGCTGACAAATCTTTACAGCTACCACATAGCGAACGTCGGATGGATGTCTTGAGGACGAAGGACTTCAGTGTTTTTTCGTCGGCAATCTTCAGTTGGTCCAAGCCTCCCTTGGCAAAGTGAAGTTTCAATCGATGTTGGTTGGACCCAAATCAGATTCCACGAACTTATATCTAAACCTTCCAAACAACTCCAAAACATGTCCCAGACAGTCCTTTCAAAAATCCAAAACATTCCGGACAATTCCAGAAACAGCTAAATTTTACTGGTCGTAGTGGGATTGAAATTCGACGGATCATCGTTCTAGACCTGCTATCCTGCCCAAAAAATCCCCAGCAGCGCATGATAGCGCATGTGTGTTTCATCGTTCAATCCCAAATCCCAAGACTTCCACAATCCCCTCTCCTCCTCCGCGTCCGCAGATCTCGGCGCCGGCGCCGGCGCTTTCGGCGGGGGCGCGGATCGGGGCGCGGAAGGGCGGTCCACAGCACCCGCCAGGTAGGCGGGACCTCGGGCGGTCGCAGTTCGGACGAAGGACCGAAAGCTTGGCTGGAGGTTTAGATGGATTATGTTTGTTTCTCCCATATTGGAGGTGTTTTTTTAGTTTTTCTGTGATTCATCTGACATGTGCATCAGTCATATCAGCTGAACCAACAGGGAACATGCTGGCAGGACTTCATAGGTTTTTCCACATGTTGCCAAAACATTGGCTTATATAGCAACTTCTAATTGTCCAGTTTTGAGATGTCCATCGTCATGATCAGGGAGGCATCACGCTCTCGAGCAAAGTGTGGAAGATTTCGCCCCCCCCCCTCGCCCTCTTGAAACATTCCAATCGTGAAAGCGTCTTCATCCAAACGAATGGAATCTCTAACCGCCGCTCGTGTGTCCCCATGAATCGAACATCCAACCCCATGAATCGAACATCCAAACGATCTTGGATTGCTCATTCCATCTCATTCTAAGTTATACATCACTCCAACATGAACCACACACAAAAAACCTCTCAAGAAGTCCAACTGACTCAGCAACTTGAAGCGCAAGTGGGGTAGTTAAAAAACACGTCTTTTGCAATATCGCGAAGCCATGTTATCTTTTTTCTCTTATCGTTTTCTCAGGTGAAAGATGGTCAAAGCATCTTTGGTGGAAGATCACAAATCAAAAGATGTCATTTGGTGGTCTACATGGTCCTACTTCAGGATCCCGTAGCACTGCCTGTACCAAGGCGTACACCGTCTTTGGTGGTAAAGACATGGCAGCAGCAAAGATCGGATATAGACAGCTAAACAAGACTACCACATCGCACACTTCCGCCCTTCAAAGGGTCCAATGAAAACAGTCAAATGGGTACTTGCCCACCAGGGCTGCTTTTTGCTACATGTCCTTCTCGTTTTCGTTATCGTTGTGTTATCGTTCCGGACACCTCTGCAGGTTGCCATTTTCGTGGTTCATGTAAACAGCTGCAGCATATGAGCAGCGGACAAATTACTTGTGTAGCGCAATACCATTTGACATGATTATCGTTTTTGGTGGGGTCCATATCGTTCTCCAATGTTTCTCCAGACCGTAGTTAACATAGCATACCAGCACATAGGCTAAAACAAAAAATATGACTCACAACCTCAGATTAGAGGCTTACAGTGCTTTCTGCACAGGAATGGCACAGCACTTGATTTATGCACTCGGACCAACACTAGTAATGTGGAGAAGTAGGTCTACGGAGTGCCTGGCGTGACATTTAGGTTATCGTTTGCTTATCGTTTGGATTATCGTTTGGGAAGTTGTCTGGGATAATCGGTTTAGCTCAAATATGCTCAAATAAACTTGCAAATGCAATGGCATCTGGTAACCACAAACATCTTTGTACCCACTATAGATCTTAACAAGATTATCGTGTTTGGTGGGGACCATATCGTTTTCCACAGAAACAAAGCCCTCAACATAGGTTTAGGGTCATGCCGTGACTAAATAAGTCAGCCAATAATTTTGTCCGTCGCTCATATGGACCAAGCAGCCCATTCAGTTCCTAGTAGTAAGGCCAGGAGCCCCTAAGAGCTTCTTGTTCCTGGTAGCGATTCCAGGAGCCCTAGTAGCTTCTTGTTGCTTTGTAGTAAGGCAAGGAGTCCCTAGTATCTTGTTCTTGTTCTTAGTAGCAAGGCCAGGAGTCCCTAGTAGCTTCTTGTTCCTAGTAGTAAGGCCAGGAGCCCTTAGTAGCTTTTTGTTCTGAATGTGCAGGTACAGTATAATCATTGTTATCGTTTTTTTGCTCTTGTCGTTTATTTTCTGGGGTAGGAATGCATTATATAGTAGTGTTAAGGTGCATGCCAATACTAAACCGCTGAGCGCGGGGTTATTGCACCAGCCCAAATGGCTTTGGACATGGTTTGACATTGTTTGACAAAGTCATTGTACCGGATGCCAATCCCAACCAACCAACCAACTGGATGATGTGCCTTTGCGGTTTGGCACCTGAATCTTCCAGGCCTCGCTGGCTGTCTAACTCTGCTGAACATCACGGCGTGAGCGACTTGAGCAGAGCGACTTGAACAGTCCACCCAAGAGTTCAATCCCGATCATCAACATCAGCTCCTTCCAACGACCAACATCATATTTGCCGTAGCTTGCCCCAGAACAATGAGCACCATTGAGCACCCCTACTGTCTTCGGCTCCATTGACCAAACACAGGTCCGCCTGAGCGAGGCAAAGTCTCCAGCCCATCTTGAGCACCAAGGAGAAAAGAAGTGTTTGATATTGTTTGATCATGTTTATATAACTGATGTTGTTTCAAGACTGGTAAAACACATCGGGTTCCCTAAATGTCCCCTTAGCGACAGCGATACAATCCTAATATATGCATTCTTGCTCCAGCTCTTGGGGCAGCACTGCGACCCCTGTGGAGGAACGAGGAAAGTCGTAGCCCTCTTGCCGGAGCTGTTTGTACCTCGCGGTGTCCACACGCTCCCGTGCCGCGATTCGGGAAGGAACGGTATAGTCAAAGCATAACAGCCGTGAAAAGGAACACGGTCCATCCTGTGGGACAGGCTTTGTTCAGGCCTTTGCCGCGAAACTAAAGACTGTATATCATTATACCATTTTACCATACTACGTATAATGACCAAAACAGTACACTATACCTCGGAGGGTTGACGATTGGAGGGTCGACGTGTTTCAAGACATCGGGTCTCTGGCCAGTGATTGAGAGTGGCGGATGTGGCGGCCCCGGCCGAAACAGTCAGTCCCGATAGCTCAAGGCCGGTGAGAACCGGCAGGAACCCTCAAAATATCTCAAAATCCGGTCCGTTTGCTGTTGCTTCCACGAATTCCAACTCTAAGCAAATTCCTCCTAAATCTTCGAAGGAAAAAGCCTCCAAAAAAATAGATCACTCGGAGCCACATGAGCCACCGTCCTTGACAACACGGCGCACGCCCCGAAGATCGGCCGCAAGGAGCCCTCATGCCTAGGCCGAGCGGGCTAAGGGTGTCTGCCTCTCTCGCCGTTGGGAGAGGGAGAACAGCAGAGTTGGACATTGAATTGCTGGCTCTATGTGAGGAAACCACTAAACCAAGCATTTTGAAACTGAGCCTTTTGGGTGCCTATATTTTCGAGGCTCAGGATCACTGACCCAGCGATATGTTGGTAATGTGTTGTACTATACTACATAACTCTTGGTTGGTGGGTTAGTGAGTTGGTGACTTGGTGGTTGTGAGTTGGTGAGTTAAACTGCAAAACATGGTGTGGATTGATTTACAAAGCAACCGACGCACCTCACGCATCCGACGCCCACGGTGAGCGCCTTTTTTCTCACGCGCTCTCGGCCTTCGACCCCGTCGAGAGGAGGTCTAAGTTTGATCAAACCAATGGATTAAGATTAAGACATGATGAAGATCCTAGCGATCCTAGCCCTTTCATGCCGCCCGTGGAGCCACTGCAAAATAACACCAAGGCACATGAGGAAAGCGTCCACACATAGCTGCATGATCTCGAGAACCTCCCAAATGGTGACAGCGATGCCCGTGCCCAGACCAGGGTCAGTCGCGTGAAAAAGTGCTGAAATCAACGACCACAGTTCCGCCACGCGCGGACGTAAGAGATCTCAAACCGCATCCCAAACTTACTAGGTGACCTGAAGTCTTTTGCCCTTGCTGGGCGTGGCGAGGTTGGTCAACTCGAAAGATGCTTTGCCCCTTTTGTCCATGGCACTGTAAAACACATTAGCTTGGCACTTTGCAACTTGCGCTTTTCCGACAGCAACTTCCGCTGCCTTGTGCGAGGCCTGTCGCCAGAGTTCGCGCTTCTCCTGCCGAAGGAAAGAGGGATGGAGAGGATGCGCAAATCTCCGAAATGGTATGTTTTGTCGACTGGAAGTAGACCTCTGGAAACAAGTGAAAGCTGTTCAATAACCATGCAAACGATCTAGGAACGGAGATGAACCCACCAGTTAATTGCGAGCCCATTAGACTCCAAGTAGATGTCTTGTGCATTGCCTCCCCGTATTTTGTCTTGCACGACCAAGGGTCCCAATACTGGAATAAAGCAACAAACTCGATTTTTCAGAAGCTGCTTGAAGCAGCTCTAGATCTCAAAAAACTACCTGTGACCTTACGAGCCGACACTTTCTGCACCGTGTGCCGGTTGCACTCGTGCACCCAAGTTTCATCGCGTACAAAAACATCCCCTGCCGGCGCGGCCGCGTGCCTCACCGATGGCAACTCCTTGTGGGAGCCAGTCCGACAGCCTCAGGAGGACATCTTCGTCAAAAGGAGGACCAGTCAATCAACCAGGACCACTAAACCACTGCCATTTGTGGGGGTATCCTCCTCCACACTGAAGAATATACAGTAGTCTTCCCAGCCATCCTGGCTATGTGAGCTTGGGAGTATCTATTTCCTTAGTATACAGTAGGTACGCAGGGGATCCTAATTCATCCTAATTCCCTCCTGCACATCTACAGCGAGTGAAAGTAATTGGGCTTTGCGTTGGACATGAGCGGTCTCCCAGCCTGTGCGTACTCATCTGCTGGTTTGGAGATTGAATCTGTCAGAGATCTCTATGGTCATTTCCTCATTCCCTACAAAAGCACACACCGCCTGGAAGGAGTGCGCAGCGGTTGTGGAAAGTCGGTCCTTGGCGCCCGAGCCCTGACTTGTGCAGGTTCCGCCCAAAGCCATACCTGGTCGAGTGAAAATTGTGAGGCAGTAGGATCAGGAACACGTATACCAAACCTGGTATGGTGAAGGTGGTGATCCCAAAAAAGCAAACAGAACCTTTCCATACTATCGACGTGCAACAGATCTGAAGAGAGGAGCATAGTTTGCAAGCGAAGAACACTGTGTTTTGTTGTATTCCTTGTCTTTGAGATTAACCGCCCCGTACATGTCTAGTGGTAGATCTATACATGTTAGGGCCCCATATGAAGAGGGGGCTTCTTGGGTTCAAGCTTAGGACAAAGGAAGCTTCATGGGTCCGAAAAAACAAACGATCAATCCTACATTTCATCAGACCGCGCCTCCAGCTTTCCTTCTTCTTCACGATCCCTACGAGTGTTTCGGCCACTCCTGCGACACTGTGACTATCAGCCAAACACTGTGACTATCTGGCTCATCTCACCCGTACAATCTGGCCTTGGGCGACACAAACAGGACGCTTCCCCCTCTGTTTGGTGGTTTGGATCTGTTCTAGTGCCACCTTGGTGAGTGGAACCGAAATTCAATCGACCACAAAGCTCCGCAGTGGTCAGCATTTGCCTTAAGTGGTTTGGGCCACCTTCAAGTCTAAACAGGGATGCAACCCATCACATGGAGGCAGTTTCTTTAAACAACAAAACAAGAAACGATCTATGGGACACTCATGCAGTTTCTGGAATACTAATAAGCACCTGAAAGAAGGGTTCACTGTGTTGATCCAGATAAGCTGCACTCGGATACGCTTGCCAGCTTGATTGGTGCAGCAGTTCATCCAGAATGTTGACTAAATTCTACTATAGACACACTCCGTAGAGGGCATGAATGAATGCGTCCGCTGGTTTCATACTACTGGATATTTGGATTCCTGCATGTTCTTGCCAGGTATATGCGTGCAGGTGATGCAGGATGAAAGGTCCATCAAACGTATGTTCCGGTTGCTCCTCTCATTCCTGCACTTATTCCACTCATGACATTCTACCATGTATGCAAAAACGGCACAGTAACCCTGGTCTGTTGTGCAAAGCCACTCATGTGGCGCCGGGTATAGTATAGAATTCAGGATGTTGAATCCTGATTGGGGGTCCCCATAACTTGGCCCGTGTAGTCGGAACACAACACTGGCGCAATAGGGCAAAAAGAACATATATATATGACAAAGCACTGGTAGCCGACGCCGTGTCGGCAACGGATGGGCGCCCTTTCTTGCCTAAGCCGAGGAGTCCCTGCGTACATGGGAAGATGCTCACGTGTGAGAGTTTTCACACTGCTCTTAAATCTTTAAGATTTAAAGTGGCGGACATGATCCGTCCCAGGAATGCATGGGCCTTGGACGCCACCGGCGCTGACTTCATACAGCTGGATGTATTCACAAAAATCCTTCAGAAAGCCTCCGGCTGAAGAGCTTCGGCTCTTGCACCAGCGAACGTATTTCACTTTCTTTTCTTCTGTACTGGAAATCACATCAAAATACGACAGGCCAGAATCCTTGTACTGACCGAAAGACATCAAGGTGCGTCCCCATTGGCTGAGGCTCTGCACTCCTTCTGGTAGAGAAGTTTGAGGCACCTCAACACTTGGAATCTGACAACCCGCAGGGAAAGGAGAAGGCTTCACTCCTGGAGCTACATAGTATCCACCCTCGTATCCCGGAATGTCGCCTTCATACTGAATGGGAGAGCCAGAAGGGGCTGCTGAGGGAACTGTCTGCTTATACAGACGCTTGGAATTCTTGCTCTCAGGAAAATCAAAATCTCTGCGCTTGGAGGCGTCTGACATAGAGCCCAAGCCGGCGATCAAAGAAAATCCATCATCGGAATGTCGAGGACTGGTACCCTGAGCTGTGGCCGATGCGAGAGGTAGCAACTCATCTGGCATACCTTCCTTCTGGGCCTTCTGAAGAAGGTTGGAAAGCTGACGCTTCTCCTCCGGGGTCCAAGACATGATTGTCAAAAAGCACTCAACTGAAAGACAGGATCAAAAGCGAAAAACCTTTGAGCATCGATCTGCAGGAACACAAAAGAAAACATTTCGTGACACTGACGCATAGCTGCATGCATAGTTATGTTTTGAGTTCGAACGGCAAAAACACAAGACTCCCCCTGAGTACACAGCTTTGCACTCCCGTCGACTCCTTATCTATTGAATTTGTGCTATGGTCTATTTATCTGACTCCGGCTTCTTTGCTGGCTGGTCATCAGAAAAACGTCTGTTTTGATGACGGCGATCCCGCTCAGCAGCTTGTTGGGCCAGCACAAAATCTTCTGGAGAAATCTGATAGGACGAGTTTCGGATGCACGGCCGAAGTAAATCTATCGGGTCTTGCTTATCTTTAGTGAGCCCATCAGCCAACATCCTATCGGTCGGAAGCCAACGAACAACCCCTTGAGTAAGCTTGAGAGATTCTCTGATGATCACAATATCAATACTAGTTCTACGGTCTTCAACTGCGGTCGGAGCGGACGGGGACGTCAGATGATCGAACAGAGACTTACAGTCTGTAGCTATGATTGGGGGTCGTTTCTGCAAGAGTTCTCGTCCGGCTCTGGGTTCAAAGGAGCCATCCAGTGCCTCACACAGAAGAAGGCTGATCCATTCTACCGAGCCAGTAGCACAGGACATTGCTTGGCTTTCTGCGGAAAGAGTGGAGCTCACAGCTCGCGGCAAACGATAACTCTTCCAAATCACAGGTGTCCAAGGCACAACCTTAGCCTGATTCAGGTCCTGGTCAGTGAAAGCAATGATGTAGCCTGCCTGAGTGTGGTTTCCCAGATTTGCCCAAGCCGCATCGGAGTGAGCACACACTCGTAACCGCTGTGGCTCGATCGCCTGAAAATGGATTTCAAGGTCCTTGTGCATTCGGGCTCTCCTGACAGCATTATTCACATTCCTCAGGTCACGGATGGTGGGATGAGGGAATGACTGTTGAGACATGCTTGTCTGTACTGCTAGATCAGGTCTAGACTGAGAAGAAATCCAGTTAAGGCTACCATTGATTGCCCTGAGCACTCGAACCTGCGACTCATTGAGTCTGGTTTCATTCACGGCTCCCTTGGGAATTGTGGCAGGACGCAGGCTCTCTGCAAACAGCTGCTGGGACATGTGGATGTGCTTACTAGACGACTCTTGGCGATAGTAACTGCCACAGAACTCTCCTTCTCCGACTCTCCACTTCCTATAGGGGAACCTTTCTTTGAGTTTGGAGATAGCACTATCGAAAAGCTCACCCGAACCCCCCACTGCAGTGTCATCAACATGAACTCCCATAATCCCTGTCAGTTTGTCTCCCTCCCGGAGAAAATACAAACACGGATCAAAGATGGATTGGATCCATCCCGCTTTGACAGCCTCTGCGTGGAAAGTTTTAAACCAGCTAGCCGGTGCATCGTTCTGGCCGTAAACATTACCAACAATTTCGAGCACTGCATCTTTTGGAACCCCTGGGATTCCACCTGCCGGTTGAGAAGCGAAGAGAGGTCGGAACTTACTATCCAACGGTCCTGCTTCCATGAAAGCTCCCTTGATGTCACCCAGCTGCAGATCCCAGCCGTGAGAGCAGATCAACTGCATCAACAGCATACGAGAAATCTGGCTGAGTGTGGGTGACTTCAACAGACCTTCTTGAGCCTTTGCGTCTAAATCTGGATCCAGATGACCCTGAAGGCACCACCGACTTTTGATGCGAAAAGTGCATAGATCATTGGGATCTACTGCTACGTTCTCTTCAATGGGTTTCCGAATGATCACAAATCGGCTACCAATGAACCTGTTGGGGTACCTTGCCCTGAGTTGGGCTGCCTTTTTGCCATAGTGTACTTTCACAGCCTGTTTTTCTAGAATTGTCCCCCATTCCGTGGACTTGGACTCATCTACCAGTTTTTGCAACTCAGCATCCTGGTTGGTGTGTGGAATTTCTTTGCTGAACTTCTTCTGTAGATAAGCGGCCATGAGGACTTCGATGGGCCGATCAGGTCGCCAACTGTCCATGATTTCATCGCACTCTTGAACGAGAAGGATGTCCTCTTCGGTTCCTTCCTGAGTTCTCACCCTGGAAGAAGGAGGTTCCTCTGTCGACACACCAAGTTCATCTGCTGATCGTTTGGATGTCGATGATTCATCCATGTTGCTTGGCGTATTCTGCAAGGAGTCAGCGATCAACCGAGGAACAACTTCTCGCATCATCTCAGTAAAATCTTCCTCTCGCATAGCGGGAGGCCTGTACAAGGCTGCTCCACCGGCTTTGGATGGTACTCGACGCCGGATGGGCCCATATCCTTGAGGCGCTGGACTTTCACCCTTGCTGGAACTGGAGCCACCCAGAGAAAATCGAGGAAAACTTGGTTCGTTGTCTTCATTGCCTGGAGGATTTCCGGACTCAATCTCTGGAATACTGTTGGAATGGCCATCTGGTGGCACCACCTCCATGGGTTCAGGAGCGATGGCTGAGTCACCGGTCGGCTCGTTGGTCGGAGGAGCTGCCTCCAGGTTGGAGGTCTGGACTGGTGTCGGTGGCTGATGGTCAGCTGGCGCTGGAAGTTCGGTGTCAGCAACAATGGGAGACTTGGTCAACACTGGATGTGTGGAGGGATAGTGGCCTGGTACTAGGTCCACAAACTGATGACTGCGAAAGGTACCCCCTTCCAACAAGTCTTTGATTCCCAACAACTCAGCTTGTGGGGATTGCAGGACTGTACGTTCCTCTGTGGTTGCGGGTCTCAGCTGCTCGGGGGCAACACGAAAAATTTGCTTCCGATGGGCAATCACATAGTTGCGTCCTATCTTTCCCATGACCACTGCTGTACCGAACCATCGACCACCTTGTATCACATGCCCCTTTTGAGATTGAGTAGCTCCCTGAAACTTTTGTTCTCTCCAATAAGCCACCAAATCTCCAGCTTGAAAGTCAGGAACTGTACGAGGTCGTGCTGCTAGAGCACGTCTCAAGGCCTGATCGCTCTGGAGATCGATGACTGCTTTCCGAGCAGTCGAGCGAATCTCTTGCGACTTCTGGATAGCAGCATCTGTCAGTCCCAGAGTAGCTGGAACAACTCGTAGTGGTTCATCCAAAAGATCGCACGGAACATCAGGGTTCTTCCCAAAAACAAATTGGTAGGGAGTGAAGCCGTGGTTCTGAATCATCGTGTTCTTCACATGAGCATGAATAACCAACTGTTCCCACTCTTCTTTTGTCGAAGGAGAATGTTCTTCCACTAGTTTGGAAAGCACGTTGCCAAACCATCCACCATGACGTTCAGTACGACCCAACTGCCAATGGGCCTCTGCGGCTATGGGCTTGCAGTGTGTGCCCAGACTCTCCAAATAACTCTGTAAAACATCTCCTAGATTGGTTCGAGCAGGGTCCATCATCAACACTTTCGGGGCTCCAAAAGTACGCACCCATTGACTTGAAAACAGATGCTTGATGACCTGGGAGGTCTCTTGCTCGAAGAAGGGAAGCACAAGTTGGTAATTGCTAGCATGATCCACTATATTCAAGGCCTTTATGGTTTGGTTATTCTTCCAGCCTCTCAATCCTTTCACATCGATTCCTACCACATGGTTGAATTCTCTGGGATGATCTACCTGTGCTGGGAGTGGAGTTCGGGGTTTACCCTGTGCTTGACAGGAGTCACAACTGAGCTGACGTGCCAATGCAAGAGCCTTGTCGGAGGCCTGAGCATGTTTCAAAAGGCGGACCAGGTCAGCACTTGAGGGGTGCCCCAAATTCTTGTGTAACCGAAACAAGGCCTTCTTGACCATCTCATCATCTTCATGTTCCAAATCCCCTTTTACCATGAGAACATCGTGTTCATGTTGAAATGGCCATGGTAAACACGGTGGCAAATGGCTGCGAGACATCTCTCAGAACTGGGGAACCGTATTCATGACAGCCATCACAAAGGACGGAGTGTACTTGCCTGTGAAGGCGCTGATGGAACCAACTGAGGGATGACTTCCGGCCACTGGCTGGTGAGTACCATGTTTCTCATGAGCCTGTCCTGGGCATTTTTGTTCAAGAACTTGCATACCCTGGTCACTCACCAGCAGGCGAGTGGGCTTTCTGATCAATTGTTCTGAACCAGGAATTCTCAAACCAAACCTACAAAAATCACACTCGAGAGGAAAGAACTCTTTGAGCAGGGTTTTCATCTCAGTCATGCGCCATGCTCTGGAGCCTCGAGGATGTTCGAACAAGGCTTGTTTGCCCGCCTCGACTTGTTGCCTGAACAACTGGCAACACCATCGAACAAACAGGCGACTCTGGCGTATTCGTCTGGCCACTTCCTCCGCGGGCATGGAGTGACAATTTAGGTTGAACCATCCTCCGGCATCGGTGCAAGGGGGACACAGGATAAGAAGATCAGGTGGTTCTTCGCGGAGTTCCCTGGACACGGACGCCCTAGTCTTGGCTTGCTGAAAATCATATCCTGTGACGAGGTCATACGACTTGCACACGCCTCCTACACCTTCCACCAGGGGGGCAAATCGAGGAGGGCTGAAAACTTCAGCTACTGTCAACCTCTTGGACCTGACGTTGGCATCATGCTTGGAGGGTGACTCAGACTTCCCTATTCGATTTATCTGAGATTTCAGTTGGCGCACATGGTGCACCGGAAGGCTCTCAAAAGTGGAAGTGCATTCCTGCGGTCGAAAAACAAACTCAGTTCGAGTGTGCATGACATGTCTAGGAATGGCATGGTGATAGGCCGATTTCCCTTTTTGTGGTGAGATGGGTTCATCGAACAATACCACTCCAGTATCACAATCAATCACCTTCCTATGAACCACTGTGTGCCAAAGGGGACCTTGCTTCCCAATGGTGGGGGTTTGCTGCAAAAAGGAATCTTCTCGAAACCATGACTGAAGCGGGACCGAGTTGCCAGGCGGCTCTTGGATGCCTAGCTCAACACCAGATTCCGATGGCCTCTCCAACTGACCAGAGGCAGTAGGTAGGGTGGATGCACTGCACATGCACTCCTGTTCAAAATCAGGTGCCTGGCGTTCTCCAATAACATTCACGGCATATTGTCCGGCTTCATTCACCTTCAGGGGCACACTCACCTGTTCATTGAATAGGGTCAATCGGCTGTTGCCAAAGTCGATCACGGCCTGCAGAGTCTGGAGAGCACTGCGAGAGATCAGAAAGGGGGCTCGACCTTTCACAATGGCCGTGCGGATCGTGCCTCGTTTGCCTCCCAGACACACTGGGAGACGCAGCACTGAGGTCGTGGTCTCCTTTTCACCATTGCCAAATCGAAAATGGTTGGTCTCGGCAATCTCCTCCGGAACGGACATGCCTGCCTCAGTCCAAAGTTGGGTGAACTCATTCAGGGTCTCACGTCCGATGATGGATCGACCGCAACCCGAGTCCAGGATGCCATAGCCTGGAGAGCTCACCAACAGAATCTCGGGCTGCTCGAGAGAAGGCTGGTCGGTGACCTGATGCATACGTGCTGCTTGTCGTTGTCGGAGCAGGGAGAGTGGAGACAAGAACTCTTTGCACAAAGCCGCCATAGCCACAAAGTCCTCCTGGTCGTAGCAAACAAAAGCGGCTCCAGCTTCTTTCTTCGATCCTCCAGAACTAGAGCCACGGGGTTGAGAGCACTCGCGGGACCAGTGCCCCACCTGCCCGCAACGATGGCACTTGGTCTTGCGTTTCAGTTCAGCAATCTCGACCCGATAGCTACGCTTCAGGTCGGAGGCAGCCGCAAATTTGCGAGACCTCTGTAGCTTGCCAAGCTCTTTACGGCGATCTTTCCATGAGATGGCCAATGCTTCAGCCACTTCCTGCTCGGAGTACACCTCATCGAGGTCACCCTCATTGGAGCCAGCACTGACGTTGTGTTCCGCCAGAAAAGCTTCCACCTCAGCGGCCAAATCCGACTCATCTTCAAGGTCGGGATAGTCGGGTGCAGTGGTTCCGACATCTCCCTCAACGAGGCCAGCGCCTATATGCTTTTTCTTGACGACGAACTCGGGGTAGCACGAGCGCATGGCTCGTCCCACTTCCTCGCGTTTGAGGATACCCAGCGACCGGGCCAACACCACTGCCTTCTGCTCTTCATTGAGACCGGATCGGTGTAAAATGATCCAGCCCCGAGCCTCCTCAGGAAAGGCTACATTGGTCTTTCTCTCGCACTTGTCGAACAACTCAGTGGCGCGAGAGATCCAGGTCTTCAAACTCTCGCCGTCTTGAGCGCGGACATTGAAGATCTCTGTCAAAGCCTCGCTCATTTCATCGCTGGCATCTTTTTGCGGAAAGCGCCGGTCCAAGCGTTCCAGCAAAACTTTCTCTCCGCCCTCCTTCTGGTAGAGGGCTGGGTCCAGGTGTTCCACGCATTCCAGGGCCTTGCCTGAAAGAAGCGTGTACAGGTAGGCCCCACGGGCCTTGGGCTGCACCTTGTCCTCCAAGGTAAGTAGTTTATTCTGCACCCAGACTTTCCATCTTCGGTACTCCTTGGCGTCCTCCTGATCGCCAGAGAAGTAGCGCAGGCCGCTTGAGCCTCCGTCAGAACTCGCCGCCATGGCGCACGCTCACGTGTGAAACGTCACACCGGTATCCTAACCGGCGGGAGTCTCGGCGTACCGAGGCCCCGCTACCAATGACAAAGCACTGGTAGCCGACGCCGTGTCGGCAACGGATGGGCGCCCTTTCTTGCCTAAGCCGAGGAGTCCCTGCGTACATGGGAAGATGCTCACGTGTGAGAGTTTTCACATATATATATAGATCATCCCTGCTGCCCGGACAATCTCCATCGATGGCTCCTGCATCGATGGCTCTGCACACCACCAAGCCGCAGTTCTTCACCAACATCTGGCCAATCGATGTAGCAATGGGGTGGGTGCATTGCCAACTGGAGGTGTTTGTTTGGTTGCCAGTAGCTCCTCTATATATGCCCCGTAATGTTTGGTAGTGTAAATGATTGTAAATGTAAATGTAGTATAATTACTATAGCTTATAGCTTTGTTCGGGAGGGTGAAGTAGGGTAGGGTGAAGTCCTTTTCCAAATTCTTTGCCTATCTGGTTTATGTTCAACAAGAACACCATTGAACACCCTGTCCATCAAATGGAGATCGATACTGCCGGACGCCTCAGTCTTCGCAAACCATCAGCTGAAAGACACCCGTCTTTTGGGGAGCCAAAGAAGTCAGGAACTCTCATTGGATATCGACTTGTGGGAGCCGAAAAGAAATGAAAAAAGGCAGAGAAGTGGAACAAGGGATACGCAAATCCTTTCCACAAAGGAATCCTTCGTACCATTTAGGAGCTGCACTGGATGAGAAAAAGATATTCCGCAATCTTTCGAGTCCAACCTGGTAGATAGCAGGGTCTCAAACTCAGAGCCCAATAGCGCCGGTTGCAAAACATTGTTGCAGCAAGTTAAAACGAAAGGGTATCCCAAAGAAATCAACGCCATTTGCACAGCTTGTTGGTGCATTTCCTCCAACCACCCACATCCGGATCTAGCCCCAACCCGCTCCCCTGCAGCTTTTTGAGCCCTTTCGGTGTGCGGGTTTGTGGCATCTCGTGGCATTCCGTGGCGAGGCTCGGCCTCCCCGCCTCCAAGAGGCTCAGCGCCAACTGCACCGAGCGGGCCGACTCGCTGCCTGGGTCATGGGGAGAAGTACTCGCTTCCGAGCACGGATGGAGATGATAAGTCTGGGATGTACGGCCCGGGGGTAGCTTGCGGTCGAGAGGTATGGTATGGCTTATTGAATCACTGAGCCTTCCTAGAGCCATGCCATGTTGGGAAGATATCATGCTAGCACCAAAGAACACAGAAAAAAAGGATCCAGAAAAAATCAAAACGCTGTCGGATCAACACCAAGCCCCGACCACCGCCTCGTGCACCGAGTGCCCCGGCGCAAACGCTCGTTGATGCGGTCCATGGTCAGGGGCGCCAAGTACTGGTTCTCCTCCGACCGAGTGCGTCGAGCCAGCGTGGCGCGGTCGAGCCGCCACGCGGGTGGCAGGCGGCAGCCACGGTGGTCGACTCGCGGTCCACCAAATTGATGGATCCTCTGGTTTTGGTGGATCGGCCAGTTTCTTTTGAAGGTCTTGGAGGGCCAGGGAAGAGGTTCTCAAATCCTAAGTGAACAGAAACAGGATCATGCGAAGAAACTGTTACAGTAGGTTCATGTAAATGTAGGTTCTATGTCCGAACCCTACAACCCCAAGCAAAAGCACAAGAAGATAGGTTTCGTGAGGTTAACATCATCTTGGGTGCAAATCGCACTGGTGTTCATTCCCATGATTCCCTAGTGCGACTTGCGAGTGCTGGTTCCCTTGGCATGAGTGGCCGAGATCCCAAAGCATGAGGACCAAAACTCGAATCCTTATAGTGGGATGTATTCCTTGTACAAAAATCCTTGTTTTCTTAAGATTTCCGACAAAACATATATGATTGAAATACATTGAAAACCACTCCTGGCCACAAATTCGTAGTCACTGAATGGAAGACAGTTCCTATTTACATTGATCTTCCAAAGACCTACGACTGCACTGAACAACAGGTCGTATTCTCTCAGTTTGATGCATACTTTCAGTATGCATACTTTCAGTTTGATGCCTCAACCTCTACGTCTGCTTGAATCAATGAAGTCTCCACGGTGGGGGGGTAAAATCTCTTGAATCAGCTTGAATCGGATCTATGAAAACAATTCAAAGCTTACAGTGCGAACCCAGATTGATTCACCCAGTCCACTCATGTCTTCGCATGTGGTCCTTGACCATGTCGCAAATCTGTACATTCACCGCCTAAATCTGCAGGAGAAAAAGAAGCAAACTCTCCGATTTTGGGATCAGGATCAACATGAGTACAGCAGATGCATTCAGATCTGAAATTCTGTCAGACAGCGCAGAAAGCCCTGGATTTCTTCATGTGGACACAATCACCTCCACCATCGGAGACAAACATAGAAATAGGAAATGGGAAGGCTCCCAGTCCAAACGATAAACAATGAGCTGTCATCCGCAATGCCAGCAGGATGTAGCCGCAGCCAGAGGCTTTGCTTCAGCACACTTGGTCTACTGGAACTTTTATGTGTCCCCAACAAAAGGATAAGGAAACCCGTGTCCAACACGCAAATGCACAAATGGCACCTTGAGCACCAATCAGAGTAGGCAGTTGGCACCTCGCATGAAAGTCGCCTCAAACTGGATTTGGTGGCAAAACAGTTAAAAGCTGTAGAGTGTGTGGAGTGTAAGTGTGCACAATTGCTCTGGAAAAAAAGAATACTTGTCCTGTGGGAAACGGTGGAGTTGTAGGAGTACCTTGATCTTGGTGTCTTTCGAACCTCTCCTCTGGTCGGAAGTAGCCCAACTGAGCTGCCCAGGCCCACTCGATGGTAGAGGAGCGCAGGGCCAATGACAACAAGGTGTCCAACTGGGGCAGCAGCGAAACGACGGAAAGATGCGCCAAGCGAACTGCCTTCTCACATGGTGCACCATGGGAGGGCGTCCAAACCAATCATCTTTCACCCAGAATTCCGCGGGTGGGTAGTAGGGGGTGTCAAAAAGCTGAAAGACAAAAAACAAGCGTAAAAACAAGCGTCCTTGCTCCTAGTCCTAGTAGCGATGCCAGGAGCTACTAGTAGCTTCTTGTTTGCTCTTCAAGCAGCGCCCTTCGTCCATCTGGTCTGACACCCCGCGTTCGCCCGGGCCACTCGTCCCTCGCCTCCTTGGCCGTCATCGGCTCCTGACACCGATGGCGTCCGAAGGTGCCGGGTCAACGTCACATGGGCGCTTCGGTGGGTTTCATTCTGAGAATCTTCTGACCTTTTCTGAACGAATCTGAAGGAAACACGTGTCTTCCAGTCTTCCACACAAAAGCAGACTAGTAAGACTGGCAAACCCCAAAGACAAGGCTTTCGGGTCTCATGTCTTGCCTAATTCTGGTCTATGTGCTCAATGGTACAGCTTCCAGACTCTTTTTTGCGTCTTCTGCTCGTTCTGTTCTTCGGACGAACCAGCCAAATCAGGCGTCGAAATCCATCTGGGACTGAAGCTCCGAGCGTATGAATCCAAGCGATTCATCCGACAGCGTGCCCCATCCGACGTCGCACACTGCGAGTCGTAGCCCCCTTTGTTGAGGAGGCACAAAAAAAGCATCTGGGTGAGGTCCAAAAGAGGTCAAAGTGAAGATTGGTCGAAGTATTAGCCTAGTTGATTTGCTGAGGGGCAATCATTCACCAGGACTCAGGACACTAGGTTTAGGTCTTTGGTTTCACAAAGTTGTTTGCTTGAACGAGCGGTGAACCCTCGCCATCCCTGTCTTGCTCACCAACCTTTGGGCGTTACCGCGTTACCCAATCCGTTCATGTCCAGGTTTTAAAGTTCGTTTAGATCCAACTTCCGTTCCGACAGATTTCCTGGGTTTTGCAGAGAGAGAGAGAGAGAGAGAGACAGAGCAAAAAAGAATGGCCATGGGACTGTAGATGATTGTACACCCCTTGTCGTAGTAGGTTAGCTGGCTTTTGAGGCCGTCGACATTCGACAAACCCCTTCGACATTCTCTTGGAGCCCGTCCCCACACACTCACTGCAGCGGCCAATGATTCTGGCAAGAGCCCCATGTGCCAATGCAAGCATCACTCGTTTGAGAGCAGATCGAAATCACATGTGTGAGACTTGAGAGGTGAGACGAGTCACAAAGCCAATGATCAAAAAACAAAAATATATTGATCCCTTGGGTGTGTATATTATATTATATTATCAATTTTATTATATATATATATTATATATATATTATGATATATACATATATACTTTATATTTCCGGTATTCGCTGTCAAATCCAGTGATGAAAGTGAAAGATTATGAAAGGCCAATGATCATCCCCCAAAGTCCTCTGGAAACTCCTGGACCGGCATGGAAGTGGAACGCTTCCATGCTGGAAAGAAACTGTGTCTCTTGACTTCTTGCCTTCCAGCATGCATCCTGTCCATCTTTCCTGCACTAGTCTAGTCTAGTGGTGGTTTAGAAGTCTCACTCTCAAATCTACAAACAACAACTGGTTGGTTGGTCGATTGATTTGTAAGTATGGTTTTGTCGATGTAAGCAATTGGGTCACCTCCTGGCACAAATCACAACAATGCTGTGAACAAATCACCCCATGTGGTTTTTTCGTAGAGGAGCCGCATGTATCTACCAGCCTCCTTTAGCCAGTAACCAACATGGTGGCGGTACGAGTACAAGTCCACTCCTGCAACAATACATAACTTACCGGTTAAGCCCGAGCACCACCGATACCAGTTAAGCACGGCACATTCTTTTGACGAACTGGGTGTTTCCATGGACTGACAGCAAACACCGACTACTGACTACTGGCGCAGCTGAAAAGTAAGCTGTCGCGGGTTTAAACATATACGAAGTACATCGAAGGACTGTGTCTTACATGTTGCGGTCTGAAAGCCGTAAGTCCAAGGTGGTCGACTGATGTGCTTTGCAAACACGAGCGACAAAAAGGCTGGTTTCTTTTTCTTCAGCACTCCCAGCACAGTTTTTCAAGCGTTGAATGTTTGCGTGCCCAAACCTGAACAAAGGCGTCAACATATCCTCGCAGCTTGCCGTTCGGTGCTTTGATGTCTGAGCCTTTACTGAGCAGTTCGGAACATCACCATGTGTGATCTAAGGCCTGAGTCCGTTCATTTTTCTGAATAATAAGCTTTTGAGGACATGTGTACAAACTCCACAAGTGAAAAGGAACGAGAGATAACGAGTGTACATAAGAAAAAAGACTGGATACAAACGGATCAACCTGGAAGAAAGTACAAGATCAAAAGGCTACCAAAACAGCTAGACACACCAAGAGACACGCAGCCACAGAATGTATGCCAGCGCAAAAGCGTCCGTCACGTCCCCAATTGTCCATGAAAAAAGAGCAGCGGAGAGCGGACGCATCAGCAAATTCTGGATCACAATGGAACTCTAGCGACTCTAGTGTCCTTGCACCTTCCCCACTACCCCAACCCCCTCACCCACATACAAGTTCCTCCTTCAAAGCAAGGCACAAACATGCAGTTCTTTGAAGAGGAGAGTTGCTGTGAGGTGAAAACGACAGAATTCCGTGGGACCATTAATGACCATTACAGTAAAAGGGGCGTGAGCACTATGACTATCCGTTTCACTCACATTGGACAACATTCAGGTTCACTTACGGGTGGATCAGTGAAATTGTTCTAAACATGAAGTCACAGCCATAGAGCCAATGACACCAAAAATTGCAATCATATGTCCGACGTCCATTGGCGGAAGCTCTTGCAACTGTCCATCGGCTGGCAGTCATTAGCAAGCTCCCAAACAGCCCCATGGCTGAAGGGAAAGTCTTTGCAATGTACAACAAGTTCATTTTAAAAAAGAGCAGGAACCGAAAGGGTCCCTGCATCTATTTCTCTGCAGATTCTCTGTAGGGTGATGAGAATTGGGCACGTGTCGCCAACCATTGCTTGATTGATTACACTTATAAATATATATATATATGCACTTGTTTCCAATAGCTTCTTGTTACTACTAGTAAGGCACTTGTTACTAGAAGCGATGCACTTGTTTCTAATAGCTTCTTGTTATTATATATATATATATATTCAAAAACCTCCTGTCATCACATATCACCCTTTGGACTACTTCCGCAGTGCTTCCGGACCTTTGGTTCACAGCAACTCGCAGAGCGAGCCGTCACCCCCAGTGGTGGGGGAAGTCACCCTCCTGCGCACCGTCTTCGTCCTGATTGATTTGATGCAGAGCATGTCATCCCAGGAGTTTCTGCTACGTGGATCTTGTATATATAATATATATATATTCCTTTAAATCAGGAGTTCTTCATAGACTCTTACAGTGACCATCATCTTCTGTAAGTTTCCTGCCTTTGTGGGGTTGGGGTGCAAATCCTCAAGGTTCCCAGCGACCACAGTATCTGTGGTTTAGAATACACATGTCTCGTCTCCTTCTGACAAAATGTAGACTCAATGTAGACGCACACGAGGTGTGTTGAAGAAAAACAAGCCGCAGAACTAAAGCTTCCCCCATCGTACCATTGTTGCCTGGCAAGGAGATAGAAATGAAATCCGGTCAGGTGCTGTAATGTTTATTGACTTGGGATCTTTGTGGAGGAAACCAAATGTTTAGCTGAAGCAGCTTGAAAAACAAATATGGTTCCAATTGGTCAAGACTGGGTTTAGTGAGAGAGTAAAAACTAGCGCCGCGCACGGTGTAGCTGGAGGCGGAGGAGTTCTTCTACGGCTTAACCTGACAGATTTGTGTTGATCTACTGGCAGTCCAGCCAAGATGCCGACATCATGGGTTGAACTGCCGCGCATTAATTCTCGGCGAACTCGTGTCATCTTCATGACACACAAAACGGCCGAAAATGCTGAAGAAAGTTGCTAGAACCCTGCCGAAATGCCGAATCAAAGTCACCGTCCAAGCATGGCCTGAATTGATCTGAATTGCGCACCCTCGCTGGGTTTGCGTCAAGTTGCATGGCCGCATCCGGAGTATGATACACAGAACGGCTGCCAAGCAACACAATCAACCAGAAGCGAACAAAGTTGTTCTAGGGGATTGGTCAAACCGCCCCTTTCTTTCTGCTCTGTCTTGAGAATGCTTTTCCCGACATCCCAAAACAGAAGCTGGTCAACTATGCAAGATGTACTCTAAAAAGAAGGTGAACAACTTCAGCTGTTTAAGCCAGTAGTCCTAGTGAGCTCAAGCCGGGCGGCCAAAACAAGTTAGGGGTCGGATTTCGTTGAGCGTGCCAGGGTCAAGCTGGGGCTGATGCTGTTCTAAACTAATTGGGTGCGTCCCGTTCGTCCGTAATTAGTAGGCTGTTCCAAGCTTCTGGAACCTCATGCCTTGCACCCTGCTAAGCCTCCACTAGAAAATTCCATGGGTACTTTTGACGGGGCCTTGGTTATCGAGTTGATGGGTTTGCTTCTTTCCATGCCAAAAACGTTCTGACACTCAGGTCACTGACCAGAAGACAAACCAAAAATATGTTTGCTCATGGCAAGGCAAGAACTCGCCAACCCCTACGTGCCATGCTCATTGAAAACTAAACTACGATGATTCTTGACCCCAAGGTTCTCCTCAATGGGTCCAGATTGAACTTCTAAGAACTTCTAAGTGTATAGTACAGATATACCCCCGGCTTAGACCACTACGCCGGTTCTAGTATCATTGTGACGGGCAGGTCAGCACGGAAAGAGGCTTGTACACAAGTACTGGAGTATTCTATAATATGAGGCTAGTAGGTTGGATGCCATCGCTAGTAGGTTGGACGCCATCGCTAGTAGGTTGGAGGCCATTGCTACTAGGGTGGAGGCCATCGCTATTACAGGAGTATATATATATATATGTTTTTATTATAGAATATGTTCACTGCCTGGTGCAACCCAAACAACCCATCAGCATGGCCGACACAAACACTGACCGGTTACTGGCGTGATCCCATTCATGGGGAATTGTTCGTCTTGGCTCGGCTCATCCCAATGGTGCCCATGCCGGGAATCCTTACAATGGTTGGGTAAGGTCACAAGAGTTTGCCCCACATTATCATAACACCGTAAGCATGCAGGCTGCAGTAGCTGACAGCAAAATGTGTCAGGCTTTTCTTAGCATTTCTTAGCCTAATCTCACTGAACTCCAAGCCCACCCCTCGGTGCCCACCTTGCATTGTTTTCTGATGGCATTTGCAATAGAC